CACCCGCCTCACGCACGCCCAGCTCCTGCAGCACCTGCAACATACAACACATCTCGTTAACGACATCAATATTGTGCATTTTTAATGATGAGTGACAAATGTACCGAGTAGCTAATAGTAATAGCCCTTCAATTACATTTTCAGTATAAACCTGTTTAGTGTAAGAATATTAAATCTAAATACAATGCTATTTACATTACTTATAACTGGATATCTTCTTTACTATTGGTTTCTAATATAACTATATTCATACAAATCAAGCATACGGCTAAGGTCGGGTCCCAACCTAGGGAGTGTTGTGGAACGCAGCGATCAATCTAGTTGTCAGATCTAGTCTAAGCGTTTGTCAGGTGCTAAGGTGTCTATGGGCGTAGTGCTAACAAAGGGAAAGACAACCTTCTTCAGCAGCAGCAATGCCGCCAATATTATCTCTACTTTAGCGTCCGACGCCTAAACTAAGACGCCTCCTCGACTGTATCTCTGCCACCGACACTCTGACTCTGTTACAAATAAAAATAACATCTAAACACGCCTTATGTTAACTTTTGACATCTACAACTAATGTACAAAACTATATCATAATAAAGATTTATCCGCATTTTATAAAAATAATCTTTAATTTCTTTAGTATTAAAAAATCTTAGGCGTTTAAAACATAAAACTAAAGTAATTAACAAAAAAATCTAATATTTACTGCTTAAAACACCGAAAGTGTTATTAGATTTTTTTCTTCACAATTGTAATACAGTCAAGAGCCAATTATATGTTGGGGTAGTGTTTGTGTTGTGGGGGTGGCGAGTACAGGTATGGTATCGTGGGGTAGTACACAAACAGACCTTACTCAGGCTGGCGCTGTGCTCGTGCAGGCCGAGGTCGCGCTCGAAGCAGTGCAGCTGCCGCATGAAGTGGAAGTTGGGTGCGATGTCCGTCTTGCGGCTGCGCACCAGCTCGAAGGCGTCGCGCAGGCAGAGCCGGTGTCGCTGCATCAGGTACGCCAGCGTCACCGTGACGGAGCGCGACACGCCCGCCACGCAGTGCACCAGCACGCCGCACCGCGCTGACATCGCCTCCTCTGCGATACACCCACAATCAATAACCAAATAGGCACTTTCTTATGCCTTAGGGTCTCAAGCATACCTTAAATAAGGCATACGTTAGTGATGGCACCCAAGTAACATACATGATGCGAAACGAAAGTATTATCTTATTTAAAATAAACTATAAAAGAAAACGAAGCGATTCGTACTTTATGTTTTAAAAAATGTCATTATATATTATTATTGACTTGTATATTGACTTGCCACAATTGCTACGTATATTATGAACTTATAATAGATATTGAATAGTTGCAGTTTATCTTAGCGGCGACCTTGTGGGACGTTATAAACTGTATCGATGCGGCGGCGGCGGCGGCGGCGTTAGGACGCGCTCACCTCTCAGATGAGTAATGGAATATTTACGTATGGACAACGAGTGTCGAGGCATGTACAACAATATTGATACAGACGTATAGCGGACATTTATTACATCATACTGATTTGCGTGTATATGAAGAAATAAATTTCATTTGAAGATTAAAAATATGTACATAAACATCTCGAATAAGATACATTCAAGCGTGGATTGCATTCGTAATTGATCATCATGTAAATGTACGGTAAAAGAAACAGAAAATGCCAGGATGACGCTGAATGGAAATCCGTAACGTCTGTCTGACCTTCAGTGCAAGGGCCGTGAGCGTCGTGAATGTATATTTACCTATGAATCGAATAGCCTGTGGGAAGTGCACGGCGAGGTTTTGGCTCCAGTGATCGGCGATGGGGATCTTGAGGTAGTTGATGCCGCAGCCCTCCGCCTCGAACGTGTTGGGCAGGTCCGGCGTCACGTTTAGCACGTACTGCGCACGACAAACACTCATTATTTTTCCCTCTCTCACTAAAACATCACTAAGGGATTCTTACCTATTGAGAATTAAATAAGAGTCAATCAATACCTTGATCTCGGAGAGAGACATCAAAATTATGACTATTATTTTATCCTTATAGGTTGTATTATCGGAAGCTGATTTCGAGATTTACATTAAGTAACTTGCATGTCAAAATAGAACATTTTCATAAGCAATTTCTTGACACACAATCCGCTAGAGTAAGGAGAAACCTTTATTGGTTTTTTTCTCGAGCTGCAGCATGCATTCGTGTCACGTAAAAGCTATTGAGCGGATTGAAGAGGCCCTCCAGTGACGCCGAGTGGGCTCGAGTGGGCGATACGATGGATAGTTGAACAACATGATGTATGCTTAGGCTTTCCACTATGTATACTTATTTCATAAACTAGTTCCTACTTGCTTGATTAACTTGATTTTTAGTAAAAGCTTTAAATTTTGTAGATGTATAAATCTGGCAGCCTACTCGTTTACCAACCTAAACTGTAAAAAAATAATAAGACATACTTTAATATTGTGCCTGGCGAGTGCGTCGCAGTCCTCGCTGTTGGTTGAATTGCCAAGGTAAAGGTTGGGCAGGATCTCAATGGGAAAGTCCTGCTGCGCGTGGGCATGCGTGTGCGTATCCTCGCACTCGGACGACGAGCCCGAGGACAGCGCCTCCTCGCAACCGGACCCCGATATGCGGAGTGATCTGGAAACGAAATGTTTCAACGTTAAAAACAAATCACATTCACATTGTAAAATTTGTAATAGAAGAAACTAGTATCTGTTTTTTTTTTATAGAGAATGAGAGAGATGACATGTCTTTAAACCAGTGTTTCGGCAGTGAAAACCGATACAAAATGTTGGAAACATAATCCACATGTACGATACTTGCAAACAAACACAAACAATACTGCATTAAATATATCTATTGAAATGTTATTAAATAACAATTAAAAAAACATTGAATCGCAGGAAGTTTGAATTATTTATGCATATCAGAGGTCCGCGTTAATTCTAAATTTTCTGAATTTTTTGTTAGGATAAGTTTCGTTTAGGCAAAGTTGTTCATAAAGGATTGGAAGATGCATTTAACGTACGACATAGTTGGACACCTTAAAATTGTTTTTAATGCTCATTTATTTTTTATAATCATAAAATCAACCATCAAAATTCATAAATCTACATTTTCCTATAAACATAACTTCAGGGAGTGTAACAAGCTTTGATGAACAAAATCACGAAAATATAAATAAGTGTCTCAAATGTTCCTACTCCCCACTCGCCTCACGATTCCTACAGAGGTACAGATAAAAATAGAACACCTATATAAGCTATTATGAATGCATTGCCAATTCGCCTTCAATTCGGCTATCGCCCACCTCCTTGCCTTTTATAGCAATATGGCCGCCCACGCGTCTTTCAAAACGAAGGGCTCGCAACGTTTACGGACTGAGAGACGTATTTTTTTGCAGAGAACCACATTTAATCCGTTTTCCCGCAAGCGGCGAGGTCGGCGTGGGTGGCCGAATGCGTAGGATTGTTCGTATGCAGTAAAAGCGGGTAGGGTGATGGCAGGGTGCGGGGAGGTCGCGGGCGGTGCTTGGCCGGGCGGCGATCGATCGCGCCGCTCAATGGGGGAGAGGAGGCCCCGGGCACCATTCACCTGCCCCCGTGGATCAATGGCCGCCCACACGGCGTCCTTACTAGAGCCCCCTCCCCTCCCCCCGCGCCCCTCCTCCGCGCCGCGACGCCGCCGCGTCTCCTCCCACGCCGTACTTACCGAAAGTCGCCCTCTCAATCGTCTCGCCGTCATTCAGCTTGTTTTGAAAACAATCTAATTACTGTGGGGCGAAGGAAAACGCTGATTGCTGTCTCCCACGCGCTCTTAGGTAGGCACAGGGCAACCTCGACACCTTAACACGACTGCCGGCCTGCTAACAGTTGTCTTTTTGCTTGTTTACTAGCTCTGTGGGCATTAATACTTGTAATATATCAGTGTGTAAGGTACATAGACAATTTTTAGTCAATTACAAATGCATAAAATACTATTTGCCAGTATATTTTTAGTAAATGCTAGATATGCTTTTATGGTTCACCCCGCTAAAGCATATAATCCAATTGAGTAAAATGTTTATTGAGATTAACAAAAAAAATTTAAAACGATTCTTCTTTGCGTTTTCGCTTCTTGTGACCCTTGAAACATAATTTATCATATTATGTCAAGTTACCAGAAAAGGTAATTCCAACCATCAGTAATTTATATAAACAGTAGGAAATCGATGACTTCCGGCGCCAAGCGCGTCGAGTTTTATATTTTGGGAAATTCCATTGAATCGAATGCCCTTTTGAGGCGTCGAGATAATTATTAATACAGTGTAGTTAATGCGGTAGGCGCTAGCGTGGGTGTTGGGCACTGGGCGTAGGTGCTGGGCGCGGCAGGCGGCCATTCAGGGGAGCTACCCACGCACCGATCTGATTATCGCGACCGAGGCAAGCTCAGAGGACGTGGGTGAGGTTCCGGACCCGTCACCTACATCGACCATTCTTCAAGTTCAATACCAACTTGTACTTCATATGGCAAATGTGCGCATATATCGCAACAATAAATTGGTCACAGAAGGTTTAAATCAGTAAACAATCTGGACAATAATATTAGTCACATTTTCACAATAACTTTACAGTGTACGAGGAATCGTTGATCTCAGCAACATGACACCTCAGTCTACTCGACGTTGGCTACATTCTCAGAAATCGTGCGAATGTACTCGTATTTATTACATGAAACTACATACATAATATTACGACACTGATCAGATTACATTGAATAGATACTATTTAGTAAACGAGAAATCATCAAAGAAAAAAAATTCGTTTTCCAAATATAACTTTAGTATGGTAGGTATAAGGATATTAAAACAAATACGATACAAATAATGGAACTTTTAAACACAGCCTGTCATAAATGATGAATGTATAAGGGCGCCTTTTGGTAGAACGTTATGTGTATTCAGTGTAGATAAGTAAAGAGGGAACTAAAATCAGTAATTACTGATAATTAGGTGGCGCCCCTATTTACGGATAATAGTGTTTCGAAACAATGTTTCCTTATCGCCGACAGTCGCTACATGGGGCTACTTGCAGGTGTATTATGTAAACGTTTGTTACCAATTCTCATAACAGAGAAAATACAACAAGCCAGTTCCCACGTAGGATCATTTCCCGGTTGTTGAAACAACAGATTATAAATCAAGCACTTGTAATTTTCATGTTCGAGTAAAGTGTATAAGTTCATAAAAACCATGTATTTGTTATGGTTAGTTTGTATGGGTATATTTTCTTCTAAAATTTTCCTAGACTAAAGGTACATGGACCATTAGGCGTTATATAATCAATTAATTCCTTTATCTGCTTTTTGATAAGATCATGAAAGCTCGCTACATTGAGGTGGTAAGTGTGCGCGTGCGTGTTCGCATTGTGTAACGATGCGGCGTTGACTTCGTGCGAATCCAATTTGTATTTGAATGGCGGCCGCCGGAAGCCGCGCCGCCCGTGTTATTAATGAACAATTCCTATAATGTACTGCGTGGCCGCTGCCTTCGCAACCGACCGATTACAGATGCACGTCGCTCGTTTGTAGTAGTATGGAGAGACGGCATATACCAAGTCGGCCGGGTAATGTGGATACGTGAGTGTGGGCGAGCGGTGGTCCCTCGCACAGGAATGCGGCCCGACCCGCCGCTGCCAATGACCGCCCGCTAGGGACGCTTTTTTAACGTCCGACACGACTAACTCCTATCCTGTGTGGACGGAGGCGTCATATCATTAGTAAATGGACAACAGTAGTCATATTATTGACAATGCATCACATCAATTGCATAACAGTTGAATTACTTCCAGAAGTTATGAACATTATTATGAGTCAGCAATAATTTTATCATTCATGTTTAATTTTTACAATACTGTTGAGAAACGAACAAGTTAAGATCTCAAATCTAGATCAAGATATATTATTTACGTTGTATAAAACACTGAATGTCATTCGTTAGAAGCGGTATATGGACAACAAGGGAGCAGTCAATGAGGCGACGAAGGTACGTAGGAAGCGTCGGGTTGTTTAGCAAGTGTGTCGAGGTTAAACAGCCCGGCACGGCAGGCGGGCAGGCCGCGCGCCGACGCCGACGACCGTTTGTTTATGAAAACCGCTCTATTTCTGTAGATGCCCGCACACTCTTTAAATGGATGGACTGCTGTAAAGCATTCAAATGGATTTACTGCCCTTATATAGTTAAGAAGAGCTTTTCACTATGATAAAAGTCACATAGTTAGTTTCTAGATTATAATTTGCTAAAAAACATCAGCTCGTTTGTCTGATTTGCTATAAATTTGGTAACACCAACCATGCGGTTTGTTTAAGGATTTCCATCTTTACAAGCGGATCTTGTAATTACTTTGCCGGCGCGAAGGCTTTCACTTAGTCATTGGGATTTTAAATCATACAAATGTAAGAAAGAATTTCAATCAAAAGGGCCATTCCAAGAAAACAAAGAAGCCATTTCTTAAAAAATGAAGGTATTTTATTTATACACCTTTGTAACCAAATTTAGATTTTCATCTTCACGTTCCTCCTCTCCATCCTCTAGACGAGACAATACATTTATTTTGATACAATTCATTCCAATTCCCAATTGCCAATTAACAAGTATTTGTATTTAAATATCTATTTCAGAATAGGATCACTGTTCGCATGAATAAGATTCAAATATGTCTTGAACCTCCGATGTGATTAGATTCACTTTATCCAAGCGTTACAATTCGAACTTCCAGATTCCCAACTGAAGGATGGATGGTAATTACTCATACACGCTATTGCTCATAATCAAACAGAAATACATCGTGGAACGTCATGAGCAACCTCGCTATAATAGCCACGATGACAGCCGACACTAACTTTGAACATCGCGTAAAGCTGTTCACAATATTTTTGGAATCGCTGCTCGATTTTAAATTTGAACGTGAATAGTGTTTTGAATCAGCATTATTCCGGGTGAGACGACTTCATTGATGATGATACTCAGTTAGGGTTGTGTCTTTTGTATATTTTAAAATCACTTAGGTGTATGTTTACTTTTCCTTTACAATGTGTTTTGAATACTCTAGACGTTACTTGTTAGCTGTAGTTCTAAATTTGATTGGTCATTCTTAAGACACATATTTTATATCTTATCGATTTCGATATTAAAAACTATTGCGATTATTATGCATACAAACATGCGATTCGATAGGACGCGGTTTCCTCAAGTTGTTTATAATCTAGACTAGGTCATACCACAGATAATACAATACTATAGTAGTACATACGCATAGGTCATACCCATAAAATTACGCTATTAGTGGAGAACTTGGTGATTTATTTAATAACAGTTGCGGCAACCCTGCCAGGGATGGATAAAGACGTTGCGTGCGGTGTCCGCCCGTGGCCGTGCTCGGATATATTCGTGAATGAACTCACGCGATTGTCGGCGGCGCTTTGACGTCATGCCGCGTGACGTAGCCGCAGATAACCCACCGCAAGGATCAGCTCGGCAAACGCGTGATTATCACAAACTATGACTTTACAATAAGACAAATAATGCAGCGAACAATGATACGTCGCTTTACTACAATAACAAAGTCCACATTAACAATACCTCCCTGTGAGATTGCTGCTCACATTAACTATTTTAGTTATAACTGCATTTTCACTGAAATATTGTTGAGGTTGAATGTTTAATTGTTGGGCAAATCCCAATCGTAACTAGACGCTAACAATGGGGAAAACTTGTGCTAAATTATTTACAAGAACAAACCATGTTAGGTTCGTATCGAAACTGAATAGGCTTCAGTTCCGGTTCGTTTTCGCGGCAGTGTAATGGGCCTTAGATATAATATCGATGAAATTAGACGTATCAACAATTTAGATATAAAGCAGAATCTCTGAGTCATTGGAGCGTTTTTAATCCACCAAAGCTGCAGGTAGGAGTACATCCGCATTGGCGGGCAGAAATAGCTTGATCCCTTTCGCGGGGCAATGGAGCGGCAATAACGTATCGGGTGGGCCCACTTGTTACGCATTAACTTGCACACCGACGTGCCTCGGATAACACGACTTGCACATTGCACGTCGAGTGTATTACCTCTGTAAATACGACTCTTACAAGCATCTTTTATTACCTCCATAAATATAAAAGATCTAAACCAAATTAAACATTACTCTACTGTACTTAGTTTGGTTTTATAGGATGATTGGATGAATCTATTGATAGCAGACATAACACCGAGCATCATTTTCATAACAAACCGACTTCCTATCAACATCACCTGTCATATTTTTAAACTATCTCATATAAGACAAACATATAGTTACATGGAACCTTTTGTTTGTCCTACTACTGATAGGTTTCAAAATATTATTCTTTGTCCTGTATCAACTAAAGTTTTCTTTTATGCGAAGCAAAATGATTGTCAAAATAATTGATTGACTACGTGTTACAAACGTCAGTCGAGATTGGTAGTCTTCTAGGCGCCGAGGTGACTTATGTAGCAAATTGTCACAGCAGTCACGGCACTAAGGCCCCGGACTGACGTCAAACCACGACGGCACCTGACGTCGCCTGCTCACTCGCCGAACACTAAATCTTATAAGGGGAACTACACACTGAGAAGGGTGGTTTACGAGTGCAATTATAAAGTTTAATTTATAACTTCGTGAGGCATTTCAAAATATAACATAACATGGGAATATAAATATTTAAATGTACTATTTCCTGTGGCACGCGAATCAGACATTATAAATAGAACAATTTAGGTAATTTACTAAATTAATTACTAAACAAATAATATCGTATAATCGCCGTTTAGTTATTTAATTAAGTTAAAACATTATTTAATTTGCAAGTACCGTGACAAAAGGAAATAGTTAGACTTGTCTAGATACGAAGTTAAATATTCGTATATTACATTTAGCTTGCGGTGCAATATCTTTTTAATTATTTAAAATCTTTAGGCATATTTTCCGAGAGCCACGAAATCAACTTTTTGCAAATTAATTCACCTACGTATGTAGGAAACCTTAACGCCCACGTCGCACAATGTCGCCCAGTATAAAATGACGTAGACACGATCAAAGTTTTTCAAGTGTAAATAATGTGGACGGCATTGGCATCGGTAGATTCCTACATCCGATATCGGAACCTTGACGTACTCTGACGTCAGAGGCCGTGCTCTTGAACTACGGTGACATTACTATTTCGATAACCTTTTTATACGAAATAGTAGAGCACATTTCTTTAGAGGCAAGCTTTGGATCATTCGTTCAGTATTAGAATCTCATTTCAAGCAAACCTTTGTTAATAAAATACATGCATCTTTTGTGTTCTGAACATACTTATTTTGTTTTCCGATGAATGTTCAATTGTAGATTTTATGGTTTTTATACAATAGATAGAATTTCGTGAATATTTTTATTCTGTGCTTATATTACATTCTTGTGTGTATTCTTAAGATCATATCAAAAGAATATAACTAGAGACTGCTATTTGATATTGCCGTAGAATATCCTACTAAGACATCTATCTCTAAATGTGCATATAACATCCACACGTCTGCGAACATCAGAATGTTTTAAGGATTATTTCCACTTTAAAATTTTCATAAAAGCTGTTAAGGTAAATAAAGGGAACGTGTTCCCAATGCTCCAATAACGAGGCCGTCCATTAGGTAAAAGGCGAAATGTTAACCGGGTCGCCCGCCACATACCTCCGCGTCTCCGGGGCATAGCGTGCTTGTAATTAAAACTTAAACTTGCCACCAAATACATTTAGCTTCTAACTAATTTCGTAATGTTACTATGAAAGACTGTTTCTAACTTGCAAACATGACATTGCTCTTGTCTAACATTCCCTAAACTTTTACTCATTACATTTTACATGTGAAGTTAATGTGGAACATTTTTTGTAGAAAACAAACTAAACAGCTATTTTAGGAAAATGTTTAAGCTAAATATAGATCGCTGTTTTTAGGTAATAGTAGAAATATTTAAATTAATGTAACTATAACATCGAGAGCACAGGGACCGAGCGCCGCGGCTCCGCGCACCGCACCCTTCGCCCCAGCCGCCATCCGCCCTCCGCCCGCGGCCCTGCGTGGGCGTCGCTACACCATACACTCGACACAACAGCTATTTATAGTGAGGAAACGATAATGTGAAAGGGAACGGCACACCCGTAGGCGGCCGGAAGTCACGGAGAAACGGTGAATCTTGACAAGATTAAACTGAATAGAAATCAAATGCTACCGAATGACGTCATCTCATTGATTCAAATCTAACGACCCATTCAACGATCGAATTGTTGAACGATACAGTGATATAAATAAATAATGTATGTACGAGTACAGCGCAAAGTGCGACGTAATAGTTTCTAGTGAACGGAGCTACTTCCGTATAGTGCGCGTTCGTTTCGTTGCATGAATGGGGCGACCGCCATTGAATGCGCTGCCGCCGTTCTCTAACGCAACGCATCGACAGCGGCTCAATGAGGCCCGCTATAGATGCCTTGGGCTCGGTACGACAAAATGATGAATGAGTTTATTAACCGAACGCCTTTTAATGCTTACTGCAATGCGTCAAAACCCGTCGACGTTTTTATGGCGCGCAAGAGAAAAGTAATGATGGATCGCTGCACGAAATGCCATTCACGGCAACGATACAACAGCCACAGTCATATAAGCCAAATGCGATAATATCATTTATTAACTGACTTCCTTTTAGACATCACCTTTATTTCTAAAACAATTTTAATGCAATTAGCCCGTAAGATAAAGATAAAGCGGAAGGATCACAATAACTGTGATGATTATAAAAAATAAGTAAATCTTAGGTAAACAAATCGAGTTATATTGATGAACATTTTACCGTTACAATGTTTGAATTATTTACTGACTATTTAATGCAGAATTGTAATGAATGTGAACTCAAGGTTGTTTCCATTCTCGTGAATGAATCCTCACTGACATTGACTTACTATTTAGGTGTATCGACGAGTGGCAATTTGCATGTTCTAGTGTCAATTAGTTACGGCAACGGAGGCGTTCATTTGCTGAGTGCTAAACGCAGCGGAACAATACTCAATAATATTCCTCGTGAGTAATACTCGTACTCGTACCTACACAGTATAGGCGCGGCGAGTTACAGAGAATCATAACACTTCGCCTCGTCTCGCTTATTAACATGCACCCACGTCGATCAAAGTTCAACTTGAAATCATAATGAAGTACGTACTGCCAACCCACGCAATTCTCCACTCATGTTTGAATTAAAAATGTATTGAATTCCGAAAATACCTTGAGTGGGTGCATCATTACAATATTTTTATCTCATTTATGGTTTAATTTCGATTATTATTATATGCCGTAATACGCTCTTGATGTTCACGATTGAACAGTTTCGCAAACTTCATATATCTAGTAAAAATAAAAACTAAAAAGTCACTTCAATTTCATTATTGATTGATGCTAAATTAACCGTTAAAACACGTAACAAACTAGAGTTTGTAGTTAGACAAATAGACTTTATATCTAAAGATTATTTATAAGGTAAAATTTACGATGACATTTTGCAGTGTGTAACTTTAGCAAGCGAAGCAAGGCATCGTGGGTAGCGAGAAAGCCGCGTGCGTCGTGCACCGGAACACGGCAGGCAACTTTTTCCCCCGGTACATGTAAACTCTCACGATGAAAACGGATTCCCACGCGCGATTTTCCATCCTCACAATAATTGATATCATGTTACTCTGTTGCGTCGCATCTAGAATACCATTTCACGTTACCGATGCATAAGTCATGAGTCAGCGTTACGTTAGGAATTATTTAAAAATGATTCATACAAATTCCTCCACCGCTGCGGCTGGCCTCGTTCGGATAGTTTCCTTTGAGATGTGACGCAGCATAACATCTTCCGGTTTGTTTATTATATATGTCCATAAAATTAATAAAATACTGATTTATAATTTTTAGCTGGAGGAATATCACATTTAATAACAATATCTCGTAATATGATAATAACATCCGTACATTGTGGCCGCAGCATGCATACCTGAGGCCCATGAGCGGCAGGTGCGGCACGTGCGGCGCGCCCGCCTCGCTGCACCACTCGGGGTACGCGCGCCGGAACTCCATGAACTCGCCTGGTGACAACATAACCACAATTACTCTGTAAATCCATAAAAAAACGATACGGGTTACTATCATTTTAAACTTTGTAATAGTCTGCGTATATTTAAATACTTTCAATTGGTCATGGGTTCGTGATCATTCTCTTTGTTCATCATCTTAATTTTAATAAATGTCATGAAAAGTAAATTATCGTGATTAAAAATCATGCTCATCAATAACGGTTTCAGGTATGTTTTAGGCAATAATCTCGCCACAGGGCGATACAGAGATGTGATCGCATGTGTGTCGAATAGCAATTATCTAAACCAGTAGAATTGATTGGTACGTTAGTTTAATATCTATATTTATTTAAGTCTCTATTTAAAATGGAACTGATTACTTGAAAGCTGATGTATTATGGGTAAGCATAAGATGTAAAATGAGTAAAGTGACAAGCGAGAGGCGACAGGACGATGTCCGGCGCGCTGCCGACTACTTCCTGCCGTCCGCCTCCGACTGTCGATACGACAGCCATTGTGATGTTAATGCGTCCGTTGCGTCACCGCGCCTGCAGTGTGGGACGACTTTATATTCCATGTCGTGATCTGATACTCATCAATACAGACTATCGATTCCGTCCGTTTCGTGGTATTGCTATACGACATGTAATGGCTACCAAAGTGGTTAAAGCAGTTGAGGACTTGTAGTGGAATTGAAACAAACTGCCTCTTTAAGACGTTTATACTAAAAATTAGGCGTAACTGTGTTTATTTACATTGTTGTATTGTGTTATTGATGTTACGATGATCTATTTTCCACACGTATCTACTATAAACGTAATAATTTTGAATAGACTTGTTTATGGGCGCTGACCGACTTTGCAGCTGTACGTGGTGTGGCGGCTTTGTCTTTATTAGCGTAAAAAAATTGGGCCGACGCGGAGTTGCAGCGGAATCGCGAAAGCACGCAGTCGCGCCGCGATCGCGGCCGTGGGGTGGGGTGCGGGGTTCGGGCGGGAGTCGTATCGATCCGATGACTCATCGCTCGGGCCCATTCATCCGCCGCTCTGAATGAACTCGTCGTAGCCACCCGCCCGCGCCCGTCAACCCCACGCGGCCTCGCTCGCAAGGACTCCATGAAATCCACCCGGCCAGGGTGAATCGAATCCTTTAGCTCTTCACACCCACACGCAGCTATCGTTAAACAATCCGAACTTGTTTGCACTCACTGACGCCTACATTGTATCGGTGACAACTATCAAAGCGATATTTTACTCCTACATGAATATTTATGGGGCTTACCCAAGCCTTATGCAATAAATCGTTTAATGGTTTGACTAAGCGCTTACGATTTGGAAACTATGTGTATTTAATCACGACGTAAACGTGCAATTGAATTTCCATTGCGTAACTGTTGATGACAATGAAAAACTTATAGATGCCGGGATTATCATAGCTTAAAAAAATAACATATCTAAAAGGATGAAGCTAGCGCGGTAATATGCCAGTGCAATGCTTGTCTTATTTTCAATATACAAGACCTGGTATAATGACACATTAATCAATAATCTTAAATAGAATTGTTCTAGTTACTGTTGAAATTCGTTTAAATCATTTTGGCATCAGGAATATGGTCCGTTACATACGAGTTTAAGATTAACGAAAAACGACGAAGATGTCTATGGGCAGCGCTCACTTATATATTAGTCTTATCATATAAAAAAATAAATCAACTCTACAAATAAAGTTATTAAGGCTTAACTGAGAAAATAGATAGAAATATTCAACGTTACAAAAATTCAATTAAAAACAAACAGGTATAAGCATTAAAACCAGTACCACCCACGTAATGTAATAACAGAATATAAAGCACACCGGCCGACAATTCGCAGCTGTCCACCCGAGCGAGTTCATTTGAACATTCCCTGCCCACGCTGCCCACGCTGCCTACGCCCATGCACGCTACGAGCATGTGTTATAACGCTGGGGACCTCGCCGGTGGAGTGGCGGGGTGAGGAGGTGCGGGGCGGCGTAGGCGGCAGGTGAGGGCCGCGCAGGCCTTGGCCCTCCCGCGTCCTTCTCGCCAGCCTTGCGCCTTTCCAAATGCATGCGCTAACCGCACACGATTTATTGTTCAATTATGTTCCCAATTTCATTGTATTCCGAACTAATTATAATAACCATACCATTGTATTTCGTAGGTATACAATTGGCCACAATTATTTTTTTCACATTTCTACGATAAGTTGTGAAGGTAGTATCAGGCTATTAAAACTACTAGTTTTTTTTATGTAGTAAAATGCTTCTTCTACAACGATATATACCTACACACTCATCTTTGCCTGTTGTATTACCAGGTTACGTAAATAATTATTAAAAGAGGAAGCGACTCTGTAATACAGAACTACTCTACATAATAACATAGTAATCAAGATTTTATTGCCTATATTTCTGTGTGTAATGATGTAGAAGAAAAACGCGATTGAGGCTTTCAATATTTGAAACACAAAAACTACTGCATGGACTTCAATATTTTTGACCGACTTCCCAAAACAAGGAGGTACTCAATTCGTCTGTATGTTTTTTTTTGTTTTTTTTTATGTGTGTTACGGCATAACTCCGCCGCTAGTGGACCGATTTTGATAATTCTTTTTCTATCCGAAAGGTAATGCTTGCAGGTGGGTCCCATTTTTTGTTTGTTTTTTTAGACATATAAACCTGGTAATTAAAAAGTGTGATTTAATACAAATTTATTTTATTAATATGTGTCCAGCGATGCGTGTTTTGTTGTCGGAGGGAAGTGAGGCCGGGATATGTTGCGCATGCGTGAGAGCCTATCACTTACTCTGGTGGTAAATCTATTGCAAGCCGCGTATTTGCATGAGCGACCTTATATTAGTGGTTATATAAAATACTGTAAAACTTTATTTTTTCTTATAAGAACACAAAACGAAACTACATTTGTCTTTTTCTAACTACTCCACCAATGAATTACTCAATTTGTCCGACGTATGCTTCTTGCCCTTCCGTATCCTACTTTTGATGAGTTTCGAATTTATGGTTAGTCAACATAGTAACTCTTATCAACAGGTTTATCGCCTATCCCTACTGATTTGCCTATTTGTTATTTCCAAGTTTTAAAGAAACTATTTTAACTTTGTTACACTCCAACAAAATCAATATTTTATGCACGAAAGACAAAAGGGTGCGAGCTTCCATACTAAATGAATCCATGTTTATTTAACCGAGTAATTTACGCTGCATGCATTATAAAGCAGTCAGTCTAAGTTTGCTCGTGTTGGTATTGACACATGAGCAATGTTAGATGGATAATTTGTTAACGAAATATAAGTATAAGTCATCATCATCATCATCTTCCCTGACTTATCCTACTCCCGCAGGGTCGGCACATCGGGTTTTCGTCCTCCACATAACTATCATACCTCATCTCAGTCATCACTCCCTCCTTGATCATGTCTCCTATCACGCAATCCATCCATCTCTTTCTAAGTCTACCTCTACCGGTGTAACCCTCCAGACTCATAACTTACTAAGTATAACTAATAAATGATAGTTAAAATGTTTAATATTTGCAAAGAGGATGTTTCTGATGAGATAACACGTAGACGGCTGATATGACAAGTCATCCGTTACTTATACAATGTTGCCAGTTCAACCCGGGCCGATTATCATAAAAGCATTGGTACATTGCCAACTAATGATAAATTACGCCAAAGCAAAATCGATCTTACACACTTGCACAGAAGAACAAAAATCTCATACACGCCAAAAGAACATTATCTGAACACCAAAGGAAATGGTTAGGAGTTAGTCTATTGAGTGAGTACGTAACTTTTATTGATATTAAGAGCAGTTTATGAAAGTAGAGGTCTTGTGGAATGATCGCGACGTCTTAAATAGGGTCTAATGAAGCCAGTTGGGACAATTTGAGGCAATTTGTGGCGATGGCGGGCGAGTTATAAATACCGCTGCTGCGTATGGCCCTCGATTGACTCTATGCTCTAAAAGATGGGTCAATTATATCAAGCGCACGCTCCCTATTTAGACTTGCAATAAGTGAGGGAATAGGCACCGGTCATGTCAAATTGTAATATAAATAATTGTTGTAGAAGTTCTGTTTCATAAAATTTTGGTCTTTACTCGTGCATTTCATTTCATATATCAAAATCTTAACCGGTTATTACGTGGTTTTTTAGGGTAACAAACAAAACGTGAAAAACATATTATATTAAAAAGGAAAAACCTACCACAAAAAGCTTTTAATATAGCACGATTATTTCGTCAATCGGTTTTAGGCAAAAAAAAAAACGGCGTGATAAAGTAATCGAGATATTTATTGGCTAAATTTAGTTTCCATGTTAACGAGTAATGAAACAATAACGTTACGGTGCTCTCTATCAACACAGCTCGCCGCTTCTCCGAACTATATCTGATTGACGTCACGATCTCGTTTCGATCCAGTTCCGAGGAATCGATATTGTGTGAAATTTAGAATCAACAAAAATGTTCCCGCACATATAAACAGCATACAAGACTGTAACGCTCTATCGACGAATTAAACAAAGTAATCGACAAATTTGTGGACTGGATGTCCTATTGAAGTAAAATTAGAAAAGTTTGTCTTCATTGTGATGTCTAGCGACAAACCGCCGGATACTTAATTGAGTACCTCCTTCTTTTGGGAAGTCGGTCAAAAAGTCAACTCAAGTAAAAACGTTAACTCTACAGCCCATAAAAGTTGTGACTTTGTCTATAATCTAAATTATAAATAAATAATTAAAGTCACAACTTGTATGCGTTGTGGGGTTAACCTTTTTAATCAGTAAGACTGATAAACCACACTATATCATCATTTTGGTTAAGAATGATAGACGCTGTTAAACATGACAAAATCAAGTTCTGTTATAACGTTGTAATAGTAATTTGTGTTAGAAGATAAAGGTCGCTGACACATATTGCAACCATTAGCCTGGGCTGGGGGGGTTTGATTTCAACGAGATAGCTGCCGCAGC